GCGTTGTTGCCCCCCCCCCCCCCAACCCCTTTCCCCGCCCGCCCACCCGCCAATCGCCACCATCGCCATCATAGCCATCATAGCCATCGTAGACACAAACAAACAATCTATCGATACAGGGAAATCAATATCTAGATAATAAATGAAATAAATGTTGTCCGTTAATTCCAGTATATTTTTAACAACCTTTGATTTTAAGAACGATGGTAAATCCGGATTAATAATAGGATAAGCGATACAAAGCAATGGAACAAGTAAAATACGTCGTATTGCAGGAAAGCAGCACATTGTGTTCAACAGCCAGTCGACGATCCAAGTGGGAGGCCGCTGGAATCGCGGCAAAAGCCGAATCGATAAATCCTATCTTGGCATAATTTCCGGCCTCGTGGTCAACGGGGTGAGGATATTCGAGCTCGCTGCCGCGAAGGACAGCCGAGTGATGGTTAAGGGTGACGTACAGATGCTGCCGATCGGGAGCCTCGTGGATCGCGCCGCGCCCCTACAGCGGATGCAACAGGTGAGTGAGTCGGTGAGTCGCTGGGTAGCGACGGAACGATAAGGAAGGAAGGGTTCGAAAGAGACGATAACCGTTGCCCGCGACACTTTGCCGTTTCACAGACGCCAGCGTCCGGCTTCCCGGGGGTCTCCGACGACCTGATATTCTCCGGGGCAGGGAGCGGCTGCGCCGGCGATGACGAAGACGACGAGTGCACTCCCATTTACGAAAATGCTTCGGGTAAGTGTAAGTAATATCCGGAACTACTCATCTAAGTGAACATAACTTTCATTTTCTGCACCACTTTCCTTGTTATACACTTTCCTTTGCAAGTTGTAATGTTGTTACCGATGTTGCATTGTGTAGGACGCGCGAGCGTTGATAAGCAAATGTGAACGACGAGGTGAGCAATGAAATGAAAATAGCGTTGTAGGAAAAAATGTTGCTTTCGTCGATAGTTAAATAACGACGATGGGCCATGCTCGGTAATTAATGATTATTAAATTTATTCGTTAACGAGCGTCACGATAAATCAAGAAATGGTTTAAATGGTTAAATGGAAAATGGTTAAAATTAAAAATTTAAATGTCATTACGTAGTTGGCAAACGTTTTTCCTTTTTTTTATTTCTTCTTCACTTTTTTTTTTTTTTTGCTTTTCTAAGCTTAATCTTTTTTCTGCCTGCAAATGACAAAACGCGTTAGCATTTTATTTTCAAAGTAGCTCGGGCTTCATATATGACCGAAAGTCAACACTGTAAAGAGACAACAAATCCTAAAGTACGTTTATCTAGGCAATGATGGAGTGTGCACATACGGCAAGACAGTGAGTGCGATACGTACATTGCCGTGCGACATTGCACAGTTAGCCTCATTGTACCTCGAGCACATTTTTTTTATCGCGCTCTCTTCGCCTCTGATACTTTTTAAAATTGTAATAATTTCGTTTTGACATAATAAGAGAAAGCTATAAATTTCAAGCGAACATTACGGAATTATTATAATAAGCAGTTCGCGTACGCTTAACTCGTGGAATAGAGACTAATTGGGTAAACCAGGACCAGTGTAACGGAATTATTGGTAACGATTAATGTGAAATTATTGATAAAGATTGTTTAAATAAATGGCTCTTGTGGGGAATGCTGTCGTTGGGGGAACGTGTATCTATCTATACGGGCGAGACGAACAGGCGCCGGTCATGTTGCATAATCTCTGGGGCAAAAACGAGTCGGTGCTCCAACCCGTCTTGCAACCACCTTTTCGCCTTCATGTTCGCCCGATTGTATCTTCAATTCATTTGCATATTTAGGACCCCCAACCAAAGTAAGCAACCAGCAAGCTTTTATGGCTCATCCTCTCTCCTGCTTGTCTCACCTCTTACCCTTTAATATGTTCCCGCTACAAAATCTTCTTGGACTGACTAAAAACTGGATTCGATGATCGACGTCTTTTAAAATCGATCTATTATTACAATAATGTACCAATCGCCTCAAATCGAGAAAAATTCTCCCTCCCTTTTCTTTCATTAATCGTATCCTTTAATTTTCTTGATCTTTCCCCTCATCCCACTACCCCCTTTGTTTTTTATTCCAATGTGGTGTTCGTCACGAATGTATTCAATCATCTCTCGCACTCTCTCTCTCTCTCTCTCTCTCTCTCACACACACACGCACACGCGCGCGCGCGCGCGCACATGCACACACACACGCACACAATCTTTCTCTCTCACTCTCTATCTCTTTAACACACATACACACACTCGTTCTTTCTCACGAACTACGAGTGTCCGTTACTTACACGTAACGTTGATATAAAAAGTAAGGCACCCTCAGCCGAGCACTACATTAGTAACGGTAGTTAGTAAGTAATAAAATATGACAAAGAAAAAGGTTTTCGCACGCAGACTAATGATTAACGAGCTCGTCCCTCTTTGCCTCTGCCCCATTCATCCTCCCCCGATTACCTCTTGTTTACAGATGACCTGATCACGCCGGTATACGTGGCACCGACCAAGTCACCAACGGTGAATCGACCGCGCAACCACGGCGTCCAGACCCAAGAGAAGAACATCGCTTGCGACGACGAGGAGGAGTGCAACGAAGAGGGCTCCGGCGATCCCGGCACCACCGAGGAGATCTTTGTCACTTCGGCTACGGGTGCGTATAAACCAATGTCTACGTGCAAACGCACCACCTAAGCCAAATGGAAAAAGAGTAAAAATTGATGGTGGATGCGCGCAGCCGTACGCTAACGCGGTCTATCGAATTCCGATATGACGTGGCGCAGCTGGCGAGAGATTCGCGCGATCTCCAAGTTTCCAAGCCGATATTTTTAAATCGTTAGCTATATTTTTAAAGCTCCCGGCTCCGCAAATCAATATATCTAAAGCGCGAAAGCGTCAAACGCCTTAGTGCTTGTCTCGTGTCGTAGATTCGAGCTCGTCCTCGACGAGCCACACAACCCAGCGACAGTCGACGTCGAGCCAACGGACGAGTAGCGGAGAAGAGAGTACCAGCGTCATCGCTAGCGGCACCGCCGCTGCCACTACAAGCGGCAGCGTATCCTGGAACGCGGGTTTCACCCGCGCCACCGAGCTCCAGTCGACGGCATCGACGCGTCTCCAACCGAGCATCGAGACAACACACACTAGGTGAGTGAACCTATGATGCTCCATCGCTCCGGGAGGCGAAAGCCCGCTCTCCTAATTGGCGCGAGCTTTAATTGTTAATAACGTCTATTCCAGTACCACGACGCAGGAGTCGACTACGACGACGAGCACGAGTCATCGGCCCTCGACAACCCCCTCGACGATCGAGATACAAGAGTCGCCCACAACCACGAGAATGCCCCATTCGGTCATGAACATACCTCCGAAGAACATCAACGTCATCCTCAATAGCAATAGCAACAGCAACAACAACAACAATAACAATAATAAGCGCATAACGTCAGAGACAGCGGAGAACGCAGCATTGATAATCGGCATAATAGCCGGTGCCCTCATCGCCATTGTCCTCATAATCCTAATAATCCTGAAATTCAAGAGCAGGCCCGAGGTGAATTACAAGATCGACGAAGGCAAGAGCTTTTGCCAGGATCCGAACGCGGCGCTGCTCGGAGGTGCTCTCGGCGCCGGTCAACCCTACAACGGAGCCCTAAAGAACAGCCAGGGTGGTAGCAGAAACGGTAAGAAACGCGATCCAAACAATGTGAAGGAGTGGTACGTGTAAAGTCCTCTGGAGTTCTCAGAGACGAGCCAAGACTGACTGTGTACACTTTATTGAAATGGGTGAGCGAAAGACCGAGGCTGACGGAAAATGAAAATTACAGAGATTGCAAGATTTTCAATTAGGGTTATGCCGTAACGAGGATACTATTCGTCTAGCTCCTCAATAAAGGAATGGAAGTAAATGAAAAATAGAAGAATGGAATTAATTACTAATGGCAATTGGCATACCTATACGTGCACGACGTTGCTGATTGATTGTAAGGGCGGGAGGGGGGCGGGGTCAACACGATACGATAGAAGTGACGGTGGTGTAGCACTATACAATATACTTGACTAGTCAGTCGCATGTCGGACGCCTAGACGATAGTAGATAGTGGGATTGCAAGTTTAATAAGAATGGACGATAGGCCTGCGAAAGTGACAAAAGCGGCAAAGTAGGGCACTTTATTCGTGAAGCACGTACACGAATGTACCATTGAGGTTATGGAGACGTTGTTGATAGCGTTACATCTCGTTAAGGTAGATAGGAGCTCGCAACCTCGGTGCCACTCCTTTATGTAGATAAGAATCAATGATTTCCCATAAGCATTTAATTTTCATTGTCGAATAAAATCGATCGCAGCCCGCATAATTACGTACGTATTGTTGCTAGAGTTGCGCGACGGGTGCATGATAATGAAGGAATTAGAGCGGTTTTGGGATGGAGGAGGGAAGAAGTAAGGAATAGCGCGTATCAGATTGGTCGACAACATATTTTGCTGCGGGTCACAAATATCGTTGTGTTTGTGTGATGATCGCGAAGAATAATATCTCGTGTCTCGAGTTCGTAAATTCATAAAGCGTTGGAAATAAAAGAAGAATGGACACGATGAAGTAGCAAAAAAAGCTGTAACGAGTAAGCGAGAATAAAAAGAAAAAATAAAAAAGAAAAAAAGAAAAAATAAGAACGAATAATTAAAATCGGGATGCGTACGGATCCTATTTAGCAATTATGGCATTTATTGTTGTATAGATGATATATATATATATATATATATATATATATAACTATTTATAAATTGTGTTATACGTGTACATTGTTTATTAAATTTTAGATTTTATTAATGCGAGGTAAATTAGATTGGGTCAGGAGGGGAATTCACGAAGTCATCGGTATTCATATACACATAAAACGTAAAACAATATATACGAAAGCAAAACCCTAAGGATAAAGTAACGCACGAGCCGAGGGGTGGGGGTGGGCGCGATCGAAACTAATGAATTGTATGAGGTAAAATTCTACATATGCAGTGTTTGTTTACTCCAACTCACGCATACACAGAGATTGCGAATACAGTATTACCAATGTAATGTCAGTAAAAGTGTTGTATCTTTTTGGTATGAAAACTTTGCAAGAAATTCGGAGCTGTTTGAGAGCACGAATGCCGGCCGCACGCATTTACGACAAATGCAATTATGTATAAAATAAAAATGAGAAAAATGTACCGACTAAGCACATTTCCGAATCATTTTCTCTCGCATTTACGTTTCTGCGTTATTTCCTTGTTGCATAACCGAGTCGTTTAGCTCTACTCATTCTAGCGATGTTATTCTGATTTGTTGATATCATAAAATTAACATATTTAAAATTAAAAAAAAAAATATACGCGTATTGAATAACCAAATTGATTAACGAGAATTTTTATCAAGACGTCTTGGATTATCGATGTCTCTAAATGCAAAGAGTATTAAATTACTATTACTCGGTTAAGGATTTGTAAGTCTGTATGTTTTTATTCAAGTGTAGTTTAACATTGCGCTTTTTATAGATGTAATTGTATCTATATAGATAGAAAAAAAAAGTGTTGATTGAAATTTACCTTAATTTACTCCATTTTGATGTATTTAATTAATTAAGTAGCACTTGAATTCATTTTGCGCCATGGATTTTTATTCAAAGAATTTGTTCACTAGAAATAAAATTGGAAACTTTCGAAAGTTAGACAAAATAAAAAAAAAAAAAAAAAAAAAAAAGTAAATTTATCACATTTGTCCAAGCAATAATGATCGACTAAATAGTGCAAGCGGTTCGGACATATAGTTAAAATTATAAAGCACAAGACGCATGCGAATATCGTCTTTATAAGAACTCGTTGTTTATATTTTTAGAAGACTGTGAGGACGAATGACCGAATGTTCAAAGGAGCCTGAATATTATTGTAATTATAATATGATTGAGCACTGTTAAATAAAATAACACGATTTTTTTTCTTCTTACCAAAAGAGAGGAAAAATTCCTTTTGCGTCAACTCACTGTTCTGTCATTTGTCTTTTCCACGAAGTTAAATGAAATACTTGTTTTGTTATTAATTTAATGTTTGTTTATATATATTTAAATACACGCGCGCGCGCGCGCGCACACACACACACACACACACACACACACACATATATAAACATAAGAACGAAAGTTAAATTATGCTAATTGAAAGTTACGCTTTTATGCAAAAAAATAGATGGTAAAATTTCGATTTGACAGAAGTCGGAAAAGTAGAGAACCATTATGAAATACGGGGGTACTGATTCACTCGCATATCAATTGAAAAACTTATTAATGAACAAGTACAATGCGTTATTTCGCTACTAACGATAGTGTTTATCGCCTGAAAAACTTTTCTATAAACATTTTTCTTTAATCTCAACGTTATACTATCTATTGTATTGTAGCCACTATTTAGGAACATATAAGATATTCAGAAATTTTAAAACAAACGCACCAAATTCACATTACTGGACACCTTTTCAAGTTCCTTCTAATGAAATTGGTATTGATGCACTTATACACTCGTACGACTTTCATGTTCTTCTGCAAGGAATATCTCTAATCGTTCGTTCATTAATTGCTCTTAAACTATTCAACTATTATAATAAATTACCGTAATTTTCGACGTTACAAAGTATCAAAATTTCGGAAAAAAAAATATATATATATAACACTTCGTTCCATCAATTTTTTTTATACGAAAAGGAAATAATTATTCAGTAAAAATGTCAAATAAATCAGCGTATTCATTTATGAAACTTAATTTGGCAATTAAAAATCTTGAAATTGTCGTCTCATACAAATGAATACTATTTTCACGTATAACGTTAAAAGCACTTGTTTGTTGATTTTTTTTTTTTTTTTTTTTTTTTAATTAATTTTATAAGATGCTTATATTTGTAATAAATTGTATAATCATTTATTATCAGGCTAAAATCGGTTATGATCAAATGCGTTTCTACAAGATTTTCTCCATTTGAAATTTTGACAAATTTATTTATAAAACCTCTACAGTGAATGTATTAAATAAAATCATCGACTGCTGATTATTTAACTGCCGCAATGAAACTTCATTGCAGAATAAAAAAAATTAAATAAAGTACTACTTTATTTAATTCATTACGTGACAAAAATTTTTTTTTTTTTTGTTAATACCTTACGGCAACGATAAGAATTGTCGGATAAGGAAAGCATGTATAAAGTAAAAAAAAGAGAAAACAAAAAAGAATATTACGAACTACACAATACGTGGCTAAGTTAACGCCGATTATTAATAAGACACTTATCGTTCATCCTTTAAACGCGAATGACAAGTTTCTCGTTGGTGCATCGCATCTTTTATCTGCATATCCCTAAATGTACTGAAAACTGATGTTTATACTAATTAACTTCTACGCGATATCTATGAACAAAGATGTTACTCTTTACACTTAATAATGCATAACTTGAAATATGAATGTACTGATTGGACCTAAATGGACTAAATGTAGAAAGACTTTGAGCTTGAAAAATTCTACCAGATTCCTAAAATATTTCTGAAAACGTCCGCTTACTATCGATCGATAGTATATATTATATAATAGATTATTTCAATCGAAGACTTCGGTCTTTTTGAATAGGTTGGATTGCACGGTAAATAACCGATTTATTTGACATTGGCTTAGGAAGCTAATAGAATTACCATATCAAAGTCTTCTCTTGTCTCACCTAGTCTTCTACCCTATTATCAAAGATAAAGTATAAAATATTAAGAAAATAAACATAAAAAAGAATTCGCTCAGGCGTAACGTGAGTCGCTAGCTAGATGGAATTATATTTTACATTGTACAGTGACAAGAGAAACCATAAAAGCACATATACATAGAAATTATCTTTGCCGTAAAGACATTTTTGTTAGCTATAATAAAATAAAATTGATGTGATGCGAAAGTAAAAATTTGATTACTGCTGTACAATCGTGAATTTATTTTAACAAATAAGTTTTTTTACACTGATTATATGCTTGAAAAATTGTTTTTGTATTTGATTTGATAAAGCAGTCACTTTTCTGCAAGCCATTCGTTGCTTCCCCAATCATCGAATTAAAAATTATATTTTAACGATCTCGCGAAGAACGCGTACTATGACGGCTTTTCCTTATTGATTCGCGTAATACAATAATCGACAATGCTCAACAATTTTATCAAATATACGATAAAACATATATATAATCCGTTTAAATTTTTTCACAAATCAAACAAGAAAATGACAATTTATAATATTTAAAGCTTTTTTTACGATACGCAAAAATTTTAGTACATAATAATCATATACGATAAAAACATTACTTTAGACTGTATGATTTAAGTAATTACTTATTTAGTTGCTTTAATAAGATAGCTTGTTGTTTTGCTTCAGCATTAGCCAATATTTGCCAGATTTTATCATTATCTTTGAAACGTATAATAAGATCGAAGTAATTAATGTAACATTCCTCGCTACGAATCATTAGCATAATGTACATATAAAAATTTGATTTTGTTCTAACACATCGAATGATTTCTATAGGGGGATGATTATAAAATAATCTATTACAATATAATGACGCATATACAAATACTCACACGACAGATGTACCCAGCCACATGCACACAACACTCCACGTATGCAAATGCACTTTTATGAAGAGTAACAAATAATGGGCGAGGTCATGTTATGCGCTTACTATAGTCGCATTACAGTAACAGCTTATTATTAAGGAGCAAAAAATACAGTGACATGTAAATAAACTAGAAGTATTACTTGCTACAATTATAATATTGCGAATAAAAGTTGGAAAATGTAATTATGTATCGTGTACATTCATTTTTCTTTCTACCCTATAATATATCTCGAATGTATGAACGAAGAAAAAAAAAACTTACATAATACTATGCTTTGTTTCGTGGAATTAATAATATGATTAAATATATTAAAATGAAGAACTTAAAGAATTATTTTTAAAAAAAGTATAGTAATTTTAATGCAACCTAGCCTGGTTTATGTAATAATTTATGCAAGTCAAATATGTACGTTTTTTAAGAATTACGTATTTTAAGTGATATTTAAATTATCTTATAAATTATATTTTACATGATTTAATATATTAACAATTTAAATTTAACAATAGTTTCTTTACTATAAATACTTTTAATGACAGACATAGCTAATTAATAAATCGAGGCAATAAAAATGATGGCATCTCTCATTGATTGATGTGTTTATAATAATATCCTTTCTTCATATAATGGCATTTCTTATTTTACGAATAAATTTTTTAACCAAAAATATATACATTCTAAGCATCTCAAATTCATTGACACGTTAGATGGATTAATTAAAATAGATTGGATAGATCAATTTAAAAATTTTAAAACACCTCTCACTGTTATTATATTCATTCGTTTTACTTATATAAGTTTCGTATGTATTATAAACTTCGGTATTAAATCAATAATCACGAAACTGGATTTAATAATCCTTGATTAAAGTTGCTTTATATGAATGAACTTAATCATAAACTAATATATATATATATATATATATATATATATATATATATATATATTCTTTTTTTATTTTAATATTATAACGACATGATTAATGAAAGGACAATATTAAGGAAAATAGAGTATTACTAAAGTCTATTTTATATAAGAATTTTTTGAATTGATTTAATTAAGAATTATCAAAATAATGGAATAATATAATATTTTCATTAAAGCAATATATTGTCCATTGAATAAATAGTAACGATTAATAATTTCATTATTAATGATCTTATCAAATAGTTTTGAAAATTGAATTTACATAAATGTAGAATTCCTAAGACTTGTTGCGTGCACAATTATAGTTGTACTGTTGTTGTATTGCGGGATCATATGTTTTATTCCTACAATTAAATACTAACGATATATATTTAATGTTTAAAATAAATGAGCTTCAAATACTTGAATAAATACGTATCGATTTATTTAACAGTTTTAGATATAATTAAACGAAATTAATATCTTATACATAAATTATGTGTTACATCATTGTAAGATTTGACAATAATTATATGTTTCATATAAGTGTATTAATTGTATGCCAAATTCAAGAAAATTGTTTATAATTATAAAAATACATGAATGAATAGAATCAAGCGCTTAAAAATATAATAATTTTTTCATTTTTCACATTAGAAATTGAATTATATATTAAATTAATACTATCAAGTTTGATAAGTCCAAGATAATGTCGTTTAATAAGGAACGAAGAAAATTGAGGGTTTTCCGACGATATTAGAGCATTCGGTACATATAAGACTTTTAAATAAATTTATATTAAAAGCTATTTAAAGTAAATTTAGTTATAAAAGTGAAAAGTGTAGAGCACTAAGTGCAAGCACAAAGTGGAACACTACGAAGGAGTGTCCTTGCAGTAATTAGCTTCTATATAATCACATTCCTGTGCACGACAGTCAATTTTCTCGACACAAATGTAACATCACATCGAAAAGGTAAAGAAAATAATGTAAAACTGGTCGGTAATATAGGCGAATAACAAACATTAAATTACCATTTGACCTAAGCATAATGATGTTGTACTTTAGCGAAAAAGAAAGAATCGTGTCTGAGTTTTATGGCCAACTCCTTATACCTGCATATTCAATGATTTGGATTTTCTCCGTCGGTTTAAAAGCACGAATATATACATAGATACTACGCCTTTATCTTGTAATCGTAATTGAATTCTTGGAAAGGAATAAACTGAAACATTTCGTTTTTACATAGTCGAAGGACTTTCAGGTATCTATTTATACTGACGGAAATTATTTAGGAAAAATAAAATTGTTCATCTCATTACGGATGAATAAGTCATTAACTGCACGCGCGCTTCTTAATGCAAGAAAAAATGTATGCTTGCGTATGCAAGTGTAAACGACCAAAAAACCGTTATAAATGATATAAGCAGAAGCATGAGTTCGTTAAAAGGCTGTGTTTATAACGTTTTTTTTTTTCTTTCTAAAACAAGAGACATATGTATAATGCAGCTTTTAAGTTCGTTAAACATTACGTTAAATTCATTAGTTTGCGAATTGCCATCATTAAAATGCAAAAGAAATTGGCTTTTAAAATTCCCTTTCTTAGATGCTTAAACAACACGTTTTCGTAGATTACTCAATGCATCCAAATCCGTATTTTCTAAATATACGAAGAATGTAAAATTTATAAAAAAAGTTTCCGCTTTAGTCAAACGACGTAGACTTCAATTTTTTTATTTTTATTTTTATTTCTATTTCTTAATAAACTCAGGTAACATTCCATTAGTTAATAGATATAACGCGATTATTAATTTTTCTTTTATTATCGATATACTATTGCCAAATATTTATCCGTTTTTATTTCTACTTTTTAATTATTATAGCTGTCTCATATTAAAAAAAAAAAAAAAATTCATATATAATAAAACTATACTTTATATTTATTTTTTATTACTAGGAAAAATTGTCATTAGGTGTTGGATAATTAAACTGAAATTTTAAATGTTGGATCTAATTTGTCTAACATGGAAATTAATATACTTTTTTTTTTTTATTAAAAAATTAATAAGTTTTATTTAATTTCAACACATATATTGCCAAAGTCAATTTTCAAGTTAATAATAATGAAATATTTCTGACATATATTTAGTATTATAATGCTACCCAATATCGATGGACAATTGATATTAATAAAATGTTTCGGCTCGTGGTATATTAAGTTCTCAAACTTTAGCCAATAAAAATTGTTAATTAATTAAAATATTTAATTTAAGAGGTCTATATAAAATACAAATGCATGCGCAATGGGAGAAACTTAAGGGGGAGAAAGAAGATTCCTCCTAATAGGATTATTATCTTCCTATTTGTTCCTAATTTACGGAGCCGATTTCTATTCTTGAGGTTAAATTTAGAAAATTGAAAAACGGAATGGTTATGGATGTCACTGACTGCGTTTTCTTTACTTATTCATTCAAGTGCGAACGTCGAAGAACCCGAGTTTCTTAATTAGCATATAGTTAAAAGTACAAAAATACAAGGTTGCTCAACATCTTATTATCTAATTGATAATATTCATATTATAATGTAAGAACGATATTTTATTTGATTGAGAAAATTCTATACTTTCTACATTATTTTTTTTCATTTGGTTGCCTTTTGCTTTTATAGGAGTTATTTTATAGGACAATGGTTTATAAACAATATATGCAGTTCATAGTATTGAAATTAATAAATTATTATAATCTGTAAATATTTTCTGTTGTGAAGCTAATTGTCACGTAAATAAAAGGAAACATGCCAGATATAAAAGTAACGCCTTTAGGAGCTGGGCAAGATGTTGGTAGAAGTTGCATATTAGTATCAATGGGTGGGAAAAACATAATGTTGGATTGTGGTATGCATATGGGTTTTAACGATGAAAGAAGATTTCCAGATTTTTCATACATCGTTCCTGAAGGGCCAGCAACAAATTATATCGATTGCGTTATTATATCGCACTTTCATTTAGATCACTGCGGAGCTCTTCCATATTTCACTGAAATGGTAAATAATTACAATAGCTTGGTAAATCACTATTTAGTGCATTAATAATTGTTTTAAATTCATATTATTCAAGGTGGGATACACAGGACCAATATATATGACACATCCAACAAAGGCCATTGCACCAATATTATTGGAAGATATGAGAAAAGTCGCCGTGGAACGTAAGGGTGAAAGTAACTTCTTTACTTCACAAATGATAAAAGATTGTATGAAAAAGGTTGTAGCAGTAACTTTGCATCAATCGGTCATGGTTGATTCAGAGCTTGAAATAAAAGCTTATTATGCAGGCCATGTACTTGGTGCTTCGATGTTTTGGGTAAGGGTTGGCTCGCAATCTATAGTATATACGGGTGATTATAATATGACACCGGATAGACATTTAGGAGCTGCGTGGATAGACAAATGTAGACCCGACCTTCTTATATCAGAATCTACTTATGCCACTACGATAAGAGATTCAAAAAGATGCAGAGAACGAGATTTTCTTAAAAAAGTGCACGAATGTATAGATAAAGGTGGCAAGGTATTGATTCCAGTATTTGCACTGGGACGAGCTCAAGAATTATGTATATTGTTAGAAACTTACTGGGAACGAATGAACCTGAAGGTTCCTGTATATTTTGCTCTTGGTTTGACAGAAAAAGCTAATAATTATTACAAAATGTTTATTACTTGGACAAATCAGAAAATTAAAAAAACTTTTGTGCAAAGAAATATGTTTGATTTTAAGCATATTAAGCCATTTGATAAATCGTATGTTGATAATCCCGGAGCTATGGTTGTTTTTGCCACACCTGGAATGCTGCATGCTGGCTTGTCATTACAAATTTTCAAAAAATGGGCTCTCAATGAAGCTAATATGGTTATAATGCCTGGATTTTGCGTACAAGGCACCGTGGGTCATAAAGTATTAAACGGTGCTAAAAGAATAGAATTTGAAAATCGTCAAATAGTTGAGGTTAAAATGGCTGTTGAATATATGTCTTTTTCTGCTCATGCTGATGCAAAGGGTATTATGCAATTAATACAATATTGCGAACCAAAAAATGTAATGTTAGTTCATGGAGAATTTACTAAAATGGAATATTTAAAAGATAAAATTAAACAAGAATTTGGAACAAATTGTTATAATCCAGCAAACGGAGAAACATGTGTTATTACTACAACGTCAAAAGTCCCTGTCGATGCTTCATTGGCACTTTTGAAATCCGAAGCCAAGCGGTACTCTGCATTACCTCCTGATCCTAAAAGACGAAGGTTACTACATAGTGTATTGATGTGCCGAGAGGATGGAATCTGTCTTGTTGATGCTGAGGAGGTAAGATGACTTAGTTCTTGAATTATATATTATAATAAGAAATAGAAGAGACTAATGTTAAGAACATGTAGGTTTCAAAAGCGGCTGGAATTACAAAGCATGTGGTGAGATTTACATCAACTATACAAGTTAGAGATCCTGGACCAGCGCATTCAACAACTCGAAAGTTACTGCAGCCATTACAAGAAAGACTGTCGGGCTGGACAGTTCAGCTCACAGATGGTTCAATATCAGTTGAATCAGTTTTGGTGAAAGTGGAAGGAGATGAAGATGATCAAAAGAGTGTATATGTATCTTGGACAAATCAAGATGAGGATTTAGGAAGTTATATTCTTGGTTTTTTACAAACTATGCTCAGTTAGAATTATTTTTATTAAAACACCAACATGTATATGTTTATATATTACTATATACAAATATATACAGATATTGCTGTTATGTAAAATATATATGTATTTCAAGAAATAATTAAGTAAATAAGCTTGTATAAATTTTGTAAAGAGATCATTTTTAGAAAATTTATATATTTTTCAAAAGAAATAATATATCTTATAAATACACTAGGCAGATGTAAAATGAAATATTTAACCGTTAAGTAATAAATTGTTTTTTTATTTTATAATTTTTAATGGATAATCACTTTTTTAATGATACCCGTTGCTTATGTTAAATCTTATAATAAATTTACGAATTGATGAGAGAATTTTTTTTCTTTCTTAATTTGATTTATTATTTTAAAACATGAATACCGAATTGAAACAAAGGAGACAATTAAAAAGTAGGAACATCTTTTGAATAACCGATCCTCAATTAGTTACATTAATTTACTGCAATAGTGAAATGGCAGCATTAAATTAATTTTTAATTTCAATACATATAAAACTAGTAAGCTTAAGTACAATCTAAGTTAATATCTCGGTTTTCCAACCTTTTAATAGTACTCCTTATTTTCTAATCAGTATGCATATTATTTTCAAAAATTGTCAAAAAAATTTAAAAAGCCATTTTAAAAATTTTAGTAATCATTTAACTGACAAAATATTTATTTTCTTTCATAATTCAAAGGATAGTCAAATGGATTAAGTTAATATAATTTGATTGTTTAGTTAAAAAGCTTGATCAAAATTTATCATATATTTTAAGAAGATAACAAATCTTTTTATTTATTATTATTGCACATATTTCAAAATTTCTTTATCTTTTCGCATACAAATTGATTTTACTGCCCGAGACAAATCTCATTTGCGGATTTATGATACAATTTTTAATACATTCTCATGTCCAAATTTAATTAAAATCATCTGTATTACGAACACACGGTTGTTCGTTAAGAAATTATCCTTTTACATACTTCCCTTCAAATCCTTATAAAAAGGATTTTATTATGGTGTATTTCGTTGAAATTGATTGCAAATTATCAAGTTATATACATATACATATCGTACACATACAAGCATATGTTTATATATAAATATATATAAATATATATATGCATATGCATGCATGCACGTATACGTATATGCATACGCGTGTGTATATATATTGCGTATACAAGCTATATTCTTTAGACCGTTAGATTTCTATACAACAAAAAAATATTCTCTTCTCGAAAAATGCATATTGCCCTTTAACATGTAACATATTCGGTTTATATTGCGCATTAATAGTCATTTAAATCTATTAATGAAACCATTACATACACCATTTTCAATATTCCTTCAATCTTTTTAAACTAACTACGTGTTTAATTGTTTATATTTCATCCACATAATAAAATATTATATTTGTATAATAAACATTATCCGTAGTATTTTAATTATTATATTAGTCTTCTCGGTAGCAAAGTCTGCTGTTTGTGTTTTTTCAACATGACTGTGCATGCATCTGACACATTTATTTTCGTCTTTCCTTATAAAGCATATGTTTTCGGACTCGATTAATGCAGTTTATTACTCGGGGTTACTTTTTTCCGGAACCACCCTGAAATTGATCAAAAATATTATTAAAATAATCGTTACACATATATACACACTTCATATATTCGAATATTGCCACAATATAATATTTAATTAATAGTAATAATACTTTACAATTACACATCAATTATTTTAAAGCAAGTGTAATTAAATTTTCTTATTGAGCGATTTAAGGAAAATATGAACCAATAGTTTTATTAGTTAACTAAAAAGTTAATAAAAAAATATTCTTAAAAATTAAAATTGTATTTCCAGAATTTTTCCAATAATTTTTATCCATTTTCTTTAAAGTGTTCTCTTTGCTTAAATATCTGAACACTTTTTAATTTTTATCATTTACACTTATAATATTTATAAATACAAATCTAAAATTTGCATTTAACTGTAAACGAAATTGTACGGTTGTTAAAAAATATTATTTTTTTCTTTCAAATTAATATTATTTAATCTCTATAATTTTTTAATTTCTTCTTTTTATACTCATTATAATAAAAGATTAACTGTAAATGAAATTACCTATAAACAAAAAAAATGTTTGGTTGTCATAGAATATTATTTAATCTCAATATGCCAATTTTTTCTTTTTATATATAATAGAAATATAAGAAATTACTCGCTTCAAAATAATTAATATGCTTTATTCGGTTCTATTATATTACTTTTTTTTGTTGCTTAAAAATTATACAATTTTCGTGAACTAAAAACATTTAGTAACCAACCATTGTTAGCAAATTTATTACAAGATAAACACAGGCACGTAAAACAAAAAATTACATGAAGTTCTATAACTACTCCTGTGATAAATATTGCTCAAATTGTAAAATATAAGTATACGAAAACAATTAAATATTTTATCAGAATTCAATGGGCATGTGAATCAGATCAAAACCAATGCATCAAAATCTATACATATATACAAATACAAAATTGTACTGCTATAAACACTATAAAGCCAAACTTAAGTTACTTAAAGAGTCAATAAACAAAAAGAAAATCATTTAGATTACTAATAAACATTTCCGCTGATTTGTTAATGATTAAATTACAAATGCATAAAAGGGATTCATATATATATATATATATATATATATATATATTTGTGTGCGAGCGCGCGCGCGCGCGTATGTGTGTGTGGTGAGCGCGTGTGTATGCATACAACAATTTAATTATAACAAAAATTAATGAGTAATATGAATAAAAATGGATATTAAACTATTGCTTCACAATTGAAATATTATAGTGATAATATCAAAAAATATATTTTTAATTTTTTAAATAAGACTTTAAGTACAATAATTATGCCAATTAAATTGATGCCTTTGAAAAGTAATATGGTTAATTTTATAATACAAAATACTTAAAAATTTAATATTCACTATTAATAATAAATTAATATATTAATTTATAAAAATGTGGTTGACAAATATGTGTAATTATTATAATACAGACATTATTTAAGTAAACTTTTACTATTATTGTTACATCTAATTTCTACCAGATTATATTAATAAATGTTATGAAATTGAATAATATATTTTCACTGTACCGATATATATATATATATATATATATATATATATATATATATATATATATATATATATATATATATATATATATATATATATATATATATATATATATATATATATATATATATATATATATATATATATATATGGTAAATACTGATATATACAGTATTGTTTTCACGCCTATTATGAAGCTGCTGTAATATACTTTTAGTAAGTGCTGAAACCGTTTAACCCAGTGTTTGTGCTATTCAAAACAAAAAATATAATTGTGCTAATTGAATTTAGTATTTTAGCTATATTATTCTCTCCAAACGTTTTAATTGTATAATTTTATTTACACTTGAACCATTTTTAGTGTTATTTGCTTTGGCTGCCCTATACTAATATTGTTTCTTTAAATTAATACAAATATTCCGCTTGATAATGTAAAAGCCAAACTAATATTACTATCTTACAATCAAATTATATTACCATCACTAATATTTTAGTGAAAACGAGGCCAAAAAATATTAAAAGTCACTCTTGTTTTTTTTTTTTTTTTAAAACAAACTTTTCTATTAATAATCACGATTATTAAAAACATGAATATTTGATCATAAAATCAATATCTAAATGAGTTTTCAATGTTCAAGTTGGTTGTGTAATATGTGGATTGCCAAATACACGACACTTTTATGTAGTTTTACATGAAATAAATAGAAATGTAAATCTTGACACATATAATAGGAAAAAAAAGTAAAAAAAAAAAAAAACCCATAAAATACGTTAGTATATCATTTTCATAATTAATAAGTAAATGGCGAAATTTCATTTTCAACTCTAATTATTATTATCATTATAACTTGAAAAATATATATATAAAAAAAAAAACATAACTTTTTTGCTATTTAAAGTACTTAATTAAAAGTATTTGAATATAAATTTGTAATTAAATTTTCATTAAAATCTTTAATTAATAATGACACTATACTAATAAATTACTGAATTTATTGTTCAATGGTAATTAATAAATTGGCCAATGTAAGTAATCCTTTTTAAACAAAAAACTAGATATATTTACATAATTTGGCGAGTGGCTAAGTACCTTACATAAACCCATGATTGAAATTGAAAATATCATTTTTGAGGCATGATTTGGCAAAATGGGTTTTTCGAATGAAATTCTACAATGAGAAATTTTACAAATGAATGAATTTTCAATGATGAATTGTTAATGGACATTGGATAAAAACAATGTAATTCTAAAGGTGACGGATGAAAAAACTAAAAAAAATTCACTAGCTGCCTAGCATTTACCTTTTTGGTAAAAAGGCAACAGCTAACGTTTGAATGGAATCACATTTTTATTTGCGTACCTGCGAATCTGCGCCTCTTTGCCATGGCTTTCTTAGTGGACTGTCAGAACAACCAAAACACAATAGACACGTTATTACTAAAAATGTTAGACTAAACAGAATGGTTCTATATTTGCTTCTTAACGATTGCACTGCTCCAAAATTATTTGTTTTGCTGTGAATACACGACACGTATCACAGCATTTATCTTAACTGGTCACAGAATTCATGTTTTGATTTGGTTTTTAGCAATTTATAATTTGCTAGGTCTTAATTTAATAATCATAAATATTGTTTGCATTTCATTATTAAATATACATTTATCTTCAGATTATACTACCCGTCACCAAAATAATGAAAATATCTTCTGTATACACCTTACATAAAAACTTTCTTTGTAAGAAAGATATATTGCCTTACTTCTTTGCATATTTCGTACAACCGGACAAACACTGGGAGAAAGGTTATATGTAAATCTTACAGAAAGGTTAAATGTCCCATTACTAATTAAAAAGAATGCTCTTAACGAAAGGAAAAGGAGTTATTGTGAGATTAAAAAAAAAAAAAAAAAAAAAACTACCAAAAATGTCAAATTAACTGATTTCCAACAATCACAAACACTACATATATAAAATTATATAATATCCAATAGCTAAAAGAATAGTTCTGCCTTGAAGTGGAGGAAAATTTGCACATATGTAATAATGAAGCAATTTTCTCGTGTACAGTATCAATATAATTTACAAAATTTTACATAATAATTTTACAAAATTAAAACGAAAAACATAAACAAATTAGTGGAAACAAAAAGAAAGAAAAAAAAAAAAAACACAGAAAATTGTAAAAATATATATATCTCTATAATAAATTTAAGTGCATGAACAATTTTTCTAATCATTCAAATTTATGTCACGATTTTTTGAAACCTGTTTCTGGGTTTACCTTTCGTTTTTTCTTGTGTTTTTTATGCTGCTGTCCATTCAAAGAATTGCAGCTATTTTTTATACTATTATCTGTCATATGACAGGTATTGGAAGCAAGTTTTGAGGTAAGGGAGCTGTTGTCGATATCTTGTTGGGACTTAGCCGAACAGTCGGGTTCAGTTAAGGAACATTTTTCAAGCTCTGTATTCTTGAGGCGGGATTTTTGTAAGGCAGTTATCAAACATTTCTCTCCTAGCATTGGCTATATATTATTGACATATGTATTATTAAATGTTCAAACGTACAGTATGAACGTAAGCTTTCACAGATTATAATATAATAAAGTATTTTGAAATTCTAGTAAATTTGACGGAGCTTTGAAATAATTACAGCTACGATGAAATTTAAAAAGCAATGGCTATAACATTAAAACGAAATTAATATAATTTATAATAATCTGTGAGATTAGTTTTATAAGCAATTCAGTTTAAAGCGCATTAAAGACATTTGATTATAGTTATTGACATAATGAGAATAATGAATTAAATATCCTCGGAAAAAATAGCAGTGCCTTTCGTATGTTAACTGTTAAAAAGAATTCAAGTTTCTCGAAAGCACCTGTAACTTTATGCATGAATCTCCATATACGCATTTAATTCTCATGCTATTACATTTGAAACCATTGTTTAAAAAAATAAAGAAGTGAGTTTTCGTATAATATCGATATTTTTTATTTTTGTGTTTTTTATTTGTAATACTGACCTCAGATAGCGGAGAATCGGTAACAGGAGGCCCATTTAACGTTGATTGGTCTGAACTACTACTGCTACCACAAGTTTCACTCTAAAGAAAACAGAACAATCATCTTTATTGTATCAGGCAAAAGATTTTCCCCCAACAGTCGTACCTTAATTTGGGATAATTCTTGTTGCAACTGTGAAACGACTTGCTTTTCTTGATATAATTCTGATTCACTAACTTCTACAAGTACAAGTAGCTCTTTTATTTTTTCATCTAATGCTGCTCGCTTACTTATTTCATTTTTTAAATTTTGTGATAATCGCGCATTTGTCTAAAATTGTTGATAATCAATTTAAAATTTAATTGTACATTAAGATTAATATAATTATTACATACCTCTTGAAGTTTTTCTGTTTCTATTGCATCTTCAGTTATACTTTGATCATTCGCTGACTCACAATCAGCTTCTTTATTCAACACCTCTACTTCCGATAACCTTGATTCCAAATCTGCTATCTTTTGTTGAAGCTATCAACATATAATTAATATAATTTTCGAATTTTTTTTTATAAATTATTAAAAAAAACAAGTTTCCATTACAAAGCACAATATACATTTTATTTTTTCTACTATAATAAATTTTCAAAGTTTTTATATAAACATGACATTTTATATTTTGTAAATGATAAAGCTGATTTTCAAGAATCAAAAGTGTTTATAAAACATGCAAAATTAAACACCTTATGCTTTCCAAATAAAAATAAGATAAAAAAATTTTTTTGTTTTTATTTTGTACGGAAATTTAAAATTTCATACACAAGCAATATTAAGCAATAGAATCTTATATAATATGCATAAGTTATCTTATTAATTATGGTAAAGTGTTACTAAATATATATGTACAAATAATAAATTACAAGTTCTTGAAAGAAATAAAAAATACTGAATATTTTGCTATCATGAGAAGCTTCCTACCTCACTGGTAATAGTGGGAAGCGATTTCTCTATACAGTTAAATGCAAATTCAACTCCATCACTGTTCTGTAGCGTAGAATCCTTAGACTGATAAACATATGCACCCATGAACTATGACATATACCATTATCAAGCAAGAAACTACATTTTCATGCTATATAACTTAAATATTTAAATTTATTTCTTGTTAATTAAATTAATTATTTTCAATGCGCAATATATACAATAACCTTTTTAGTGATGTATCTATCAATTTAAGTTTTATTATTTAATTAAGACATATTTTGGTTTTCAATTCAATTTGGTTATTAAAAATATTAATCATTAATATTTATTTTATAAATATTTTCAATCATGCATAGTAAATATTTTAACCGCATAATATGTTGTATAGGCATTAAATAATAGTTACCTCATTGTTAGATGTTTTATTCTGAAGATCGCGAATTTCTACCCTGAGATTAGAAATTTCAGTTTCTTTCTGCCGAATTTGTGTTTGCCATCTTTTCTCTTCTAACTCAATGTTACTCTGAAGCTTATTCAACATTGCCTCCTATAATAATAATATATATATATATATATATATATATATTTTTTTTTTTTTTAAATATTTTGTACTGATAATCTGACCAATTAGTATTAATAATAATTATTATATACAATACCGTGTCATAAATAATTTGTTTGTAATGGTTCACTATGGTTTGTAAATTTTTATTAGTTTTTTCAAGCTCTAAAGTTACGTCTTCAGACTTAACATCCTTATTCAGCTTATTAAGAATTGTATAAACTTTTTCCTCAAAAACTTTCATCCACTCGTCATACGACTTTTCTGATACTTCGATATCTGGGAATATCCTCTGTAATAAAGCTTTAGTCGCCTCTTGCTCTTCAACTTTCAATTTCTGTACATTGTCCTATAGGTAATTAAAAACAATATTATATTAAATATTTCATATTCGTTTTATATACAAATTTTTAATCTAATCTTAAATTAATTGATTAAGCACACAGCAATCCATGACTATTCCAGACATCGTACAGATATTAAATGTGGCAATTAAATTAAATTAATTTAGAATTTACATATGAAAATTTAATTTAATTTATTCTTATCATTTTCAAATAATTGTTATGTTAAAGTAACATATGATAAAGTAATGTAAAACAAGAATATAAACAGTGTGGTGGAATCAATTTACTAATAAGTCTTTGAAATTTCCAAATTATTTAAAAGTAAGATAATAACAGCATACATCATATTTTGAGTTTTGCTGCTTCAAGTCGTCTTGTAATCGTGAAATAATGCTATGTTGATAATTAATTTCACTTCGTAGGGATTTTACTTGAATGTTAAGTTGATCGAGCTCTTCCTCCTTCTGCGTCGTTGCTGTTGTCAATGCAGTAATCTGGTCTTCCTTCTGTGCCAATCTAAAAAATACAATTTAAACATATTTTAATGTGATTCTGTAGGACTGTAGCGGATTATGAAGAAGTATTTGAAAAAAATTAACATACAAATTTGTACTTTCAATGAGCTGAATGTTATTTTTTTTAATTTTCTCCTCAATTCCGTTTTCTCGACCTTCTACAGCTGGGTGCTCTGTAGAGGCTGTCAGTTGAGAAGATAACTGTTCATTCTTTTCGCGCAATTGTTTTTGCAGTTCTTTCAATCCCCCTAACTAAAAGCACGAATCCCGTAATATTAGATTAACAAGTAGAAGATGTTAATATTTTTACCTATTTTAAGATGGAATTGAAGTGTTAAATCTCTTACCTGTACGGAAAGCCTTTCATTTTCTTCTTGTAATCGTATAATTTGCAGATCTGCCTCTGCAGACTTGGTATCCTTTGTCGAGTTCGTTGTGCTATTAATCTTGGAAAATTCAGCTCTGGTTTGTGCTAAAATTTGCTGGATCTCACGAAGTTCTTCTTGACATTTATTTAAATCATTTTGTGATAATTTATAGTTGTCCTGTGATCTAGCCAACTCAGATTTTGTCAATTTCAATTCATTTCGAGTTTCGGTAGATTCTAGCTCAAATTTCTTCAGGTCGTTCTGCGCTTTTTGATATTGCAACTGAACATTTTCCAGTTTGGACAAGGCCTGCTGCAAGTCTTCTTCTTTCGTCTTCAATACAGTTGTCAAATTCGCTCCATCAGGATTGTCACTATTATTTTCCTTCGAATCGGCCAGTTGCTCGGCCTTTAACTTTGTCAATTCGGATTGTAACTTGTCCAACTGCTCTTTCAAGCAAATAGTTTCGCTGGCTGCGACCTTGGCTGCATCAAGTTCCGTTTGAAACCACGTAATTTTCTTCTGTAATTCTTGCTCGTGGTGAAGCATACTTTTTATCCTATGGTCCATGTCGCTTTGGGCTCGCCGGGACTCCTAAAAATAAAAACAACAGTTGTTGGAGAAAGAGGTTCGATATTACCCCGATTGTCACCCACGAATGCCAACCTCCAGTTGCCGGTGCGCGTCCTGTAGCCTGTCGCCCGTCTCCTTATAATGCTGAAGCTGCCCTTCCGAGTGTATAATCTGCTCTTGCATAATGGTAATCTGCTGTCTGAGCATCTCGATCTCGTGTGTGCTGCTTTCGCAGGTGGCTTGTAGCTCTTGGGACATGGTTATGTTGACGGTCTGCAGCTCCTGGTACTCTACGTGCTTCTGAGCGAGCTGAGCTTTAAGCGCGTTCTCGTTGTCTCGCATCTGAGTAAACTGCACCTCCAGTTGTTTACGCTGGGCGATGAGCTCCTGCTGCATTTGACCATGGGTTTGGCCCTGATCCTCTTGCATCTTGTGAATAATAGCGGAATCTTCGTTGATTTTGCTCTGAAGCTGCTCAATTTGCCGAGAAAAGCCCTGCTTTTCCGCGCTGTGGCTTTCGAGAATGTGCTGCATGCGGGTGTGAAGGGTTTGGGCTTCCGTAATCTTGGCGTTCAGTGCCTCTTCGAGTTGGCGAACGCTAGCGGTCAGGCGCGAACGCTCGCCATTCAACTCGGCCCTCAACTCCAGGAGCTTATTCTGGACGGAAACGCTCGCCTCTTGTTCATCTTTGAGCGCTTTCTCCTTTTCCGCGAGCTGCTTCTTCAGTTTGATGACTGGATCGGCGCGACTCTCCGTCCATTCTGCATGTTCCCAAGGATTCTCCTGCTGCTTGTTCAGCAGCTGATCGATGAGAAATTGGATCTCTGTGCGGCTGAGCTCGGCTTTCTGCACGAGAGGCTTCAACAGGGAAAAGTTTATGCCATCCTTGTCGCCACCTGGCAATATCAAATGCACTGGATTATAGCTCGGGCTCGATTTATTACATCGGTGATCGGTACATTTATTATCTCAATACTTATATAAATATATATATATATATACATATTAAATATTGATTTTTTTAATTTTTATTTTAATTTTTGCTTTTGTTTTTGTTTTTTTATAGTAAATTTTGTGCAAATTTCACAAAAAAAAAAAAAAAAAAAAAAAAAAAAAAAATAAAAAATAAAAAAAAATAAAAAATAAAATAGTGTAACGTATGCGAGAGTTATTCCCATTGATTTATATAATCGCAAAAGTTAGGTAAAATCATGCTATTCTCAATGCAATTATTATTATTTATTAATAAATTTCACTAATTTGTAAAATTAAATCCTATTAAATGCATAATGTAAAAGAAGTTGTTCCTAATATAGAAGCAGCCTTGATGGTAACTGTTCGGGACAATGACCCAAGTGTTTGAGGAAAGGGAAGGGGACTGATTCTACCTCAGCCGCATTCCATCGCTCTTAGAGGTATATGATTTTGACCTGGGCGAATCCTTCCGTAAAACAATTATGCCATAAATTTGCCCTACGAATTTTATTTACTCGATATAATAATTCGTTCCTAATTGTTAAAAAGTGAAGAAAATAAATATTTTATTTATTTATTAATTTTTAATAATGTAATAACGATGAAATGGTAAAAATCGCTTGAATTGGATAGAATATAATTAGAAAAGTAGCTCGAAATTAGCTCATAAACTGGTCAAAAAAAAGTATTACAGTGAAGTCTAGATTTACAGTAACGTTTATTTAAGGTCAGCGCTTAAATCGATCCTATGTTTTGAAATTATATTCCTATGTATAGAAATTATTGATCCTTTCCTCTGTCTCCATAATCTATTCGATAAAAAAAAAAAAGTTCTCGAAAATAACAAACTGTAACTATGTCAAATAGGTTATAGATAAATAAATTAAGTATCAATTTGCATGTAAGGTTCTTTCTTATAGATCTGAAATATATTCTATCAAATTGCAAGTGTCAAGGGTTTTATTTTAGTCTCTAAAAGTTTATATATAAGCTATCTACATGAAAAGACAAATTCGAAAAAAATGATAAATTTCGATAAGGCATCCGGACTTATTTTTAAGTATTTGCTCTGATACTGGACTCTTATCAAGTTTCTGTTCACGCATTTAAAATAAAAGCAATTGATTACGAGAAAATTTTTCTTTTGTTTTTAAAATTCATGATAGCTTTATTAAATACGAAAAATTAATAACATTTTGACTTACCAATTTGAGCAAGAATATCGTTCTTTTTCTTAACTTTCTTGGATTCTTTATTTGATGATTGGACTGGAATAATAGTTTCCCTAATAATCTCCTTTGGTTCCTTAGATTCTTTAAGTTCCCTTGACGATTCTTTCGGCTTTTCTTTTATTTCCTTAATATTTTCCTTATTCACTTGTTGCACAGAGGACGACACTACCTCTTTTTTCTCATCCTTGTGATCATCTTTCTTTTTTGAATCCTTTTCCTTAGCATTTTTCTTAGACTTCGTTGGCGTTTCCTTAGGCGATTTATTCACAATCGATTCCGATTGACTAATTTGATGTAAATTCTCTCGCTAGCAAAAAGTAATTTGAATCAAATTAACTAATCAGAAGCACTAATTTATGTAAATGCCATTTGAGACGATAGCGTTAGTCATTATTTATAAATGAATTGATTGATAATTAATCAAAACTCATATTTTAATGCTATATACAAAAAATACCAAAACCCATATTTTAATTAGTAATACCCTTTCTCTACAATAGATGCATGCAAAAGCTACCAAGCACTCACACTGTGACTTCTAATGAGTTCAAGATCATCCTTTGGTTGAATGACATCAAAATGATTGCTTTCTTCGTGAGAAACAGTTTGCAAAGAATTATACTCATTGGTCAGATTTGTAGCTTCATCCTTATTCACTAAGATTGGTTTAATTTTTTCAACCTTTCCCTTCTTCTTACTGATCTTTCCAGTATCCTAATATATTAATGCAAATAAACAAGTAATTCCCAATAATTAAGTGTAATATGTTATTTGAAAATGTATTGCAACAAACTACAAGCTTTTCAATTTAGTGAGTTTAACCGAAGCTAAATAAATTATAAAATATTTCAAATTAAATGCTATATCTACTTAAATATGTAGTAATAATGATATGAACAATTAATTTATGTAAATTCATTTAATCAACTATTCATAATAGTGTGCCTATATTAATCTAATAAAATCTTACTAAATTTCAATTGGACATAATGCAAAATCTTTTAACTTTTAACGCATTCAAATGTATTTTAATTTAAATCGGAAGATATTTTATTTATTATAAAGATTCAAAGTATAATATATTTAAGCACTAATGAGGCTATTTAAACCATGATTTTTATTCATATACGAAATTTAATAATTTACTTTTTCACCTTTGAGATTACTTTTCTTTGATATCTTGCCAAGTTTAAATACCTGAAATTAGTAGATCCAAATTATGAGCATTTGGAATTTATTAACAATTTTTAATTTGATTTAATCTCAATATCATAATAAATAACTATTAAAAGATGGTAAATTTAATAATAAAATTTAATGCTTTTTTAATTGAACAGTTTTTTAGTTGTTGATGTAATGTACACATTCGTAAGATATTTTGTTACAAACAATTATTTTAAAGAGCCTTCAAAAGGTTATGTATTTATTACATTTGTTTTATATTTCTTTTAAGTCTAAGTTTTCTTAAAGTTCCCTAATTAAAATGAAGAAAACTTACCAAGGCATAATAAACTTAAACAAAAATCAATTGAAATAATTCAAGAAGAAAGTTTGTCTAGATAGATTGTAAGAATAGTTTTACTGAAAATTTATTTAGTAGCAATTTTTTACAAAAAGAAGAATCGTTAAGAAGCGTCGAATTTCGTTACCATGGTTATAAAAAATAAAAAATAAATTACTAAACGAAACACACACACACACACACACACACACACACACACACACATATATATATATATATGTATATATATACTATATTGTGCACACAGGGGCTCTAGCAGACATGCACGCACGCACCACGCACGCACGCACACACACACACACACACATACAGGTGTATTTACATACAATATGTCTGAAGTGATAATAAACTAAAAACTAATACTGACACTGTTTTCTATAAAGGTATTATTGCTGCTAGTCTATTAGAAATGAAAGGTTAAGTACAAAAGCACTGACTGGAACATAACATTATATTAAAGTCCTTGTGGATGACCTACATGTGCAACATCCGATACGTCAACTGACATACCACGTTTCATGCGTGAAATGGATGAGAATTCAAGATACTGAATAGTAATGTACAAACTTGCAAGCAGTGTTAAGGTTAAGGAGGATTAGATAACAATTTCATATCTTTTACATATTATAAACAAGTGTAGCGATTTCAAGCATTTAAGTGTATTAATTTGTAAGAAGTAGCATACAAAATTATGCGTACGTTAGCTAATTAAAAATTAATTTAATACTTGAATTCATGCACGATTTAGTTATAATTTTTATTTCTTTTAGTCAACCGAGCATACTAAATTTCAAATGAATATCCAACATACTTGCATCGTTGGCTCCGGCGATAGAATTTGGGGAGTTTCTTCAAACTGTACATGTTCGGCTCTTTCATCCTTTTCCTCTTTATCTTCCTTCTTTTCCTTAACTTTCTTACCAGTTTTATTTTTATGTTTTTTATCTTTGTTTTTTTCTTTTTTACCTGCGTTAAGAAATTCACAAATTGATAAAATGGGGCCGTGGCAGTGTCTTATTTTACTGTACATTTCATTGATTAGATATAAGTAATATATAAATTATGGTGGACATGTTCGATTAATGTAAATTACCAAGTAAAAGATCGTCTGGTAGTTTGCGCTGTTCCGCTATAGCCTCTTCGTAAGATTTTTCTTTCATGGCAAATACAGAGACAAATCCAATGACTAATGCAGAGATGACAACTACTACCACATACACCAAGCCCGTTTGCACATCCATTTTTCCTGTGACTTAAACTCTGCTACACAAGTCAAACACAATCACTGTTTACAACCAAGCGAATTAACAATGTAAAAGAACGATTAAGTTACCGGAGTATGATTTAAGATCGTAATGCAAGGGTCAGGCAAGGGTCAGAAGTTGCACGATCGAGATATTTCAAATTGATAAGCAAAGGCGTGGAGGGACAGTCAGTGTTGGGCAGATGGTAAATCGGCGTGTCGCACAAGCACTGGCAATTGTTCGGGAGAACAAGTTGAGCGCACTCACCACTAATGATTTTACAGCAATGCGGAGTAAAACTTTTGCCAGATAAGAAGGAGGAGACGAGGAAGCGAGACGAGGTCAGGCGAGGTCAGGCTTCGGGAGCGTAAGGGATGCGCGGAGCTACGCCCGGGGATACGCACCGCTCGTGCGTCAAGGTCCGGAAGCCGAAGAGCTTCGCAGCAGCTGTCGGGTCTTTGGCCTCGGCGTGTGTGTCGCGCCGGTGATCACGAGGTGCGGCAACGAGAAAAAGTGCGGATGATACGCGGGTCGAGTCGCTCGCTGCCTGAGACAGAGACCGGTGAGCGAGCGTACGTTTAGGTGTGGGACTGGACTCCTGCACGGGAGCTCCAATCGATGGTCCTCTCTGTGCGAACTTGTTGTCCGGGGCTGTACGCGCTAGCGACGGGGCTGTGACGGCTGTGACGGCTACGACGGCTACGACGGCTACGACGGCTACGACGGCTACGACGGCTACGAACAGCAGCGAGATGCCGGGCTGAACGACGAGGAGAGGGGGATGGCAGAGTGGGCGAGAGATGCGCGCCTCGAGAAGGGGGACCGTCGGGTGTCGTGAGCGGCGGCGGCCCACAACGAGCAGCGACGGCGAAGGGACTCGAGCCTCGTCTCTTCTCTCTTTCACGCGCGACGTACCTTTGCTTCGCTCACCGCGAGAAAATTATGGCGGCCGGACGTCGCGAGAGTGTGGCGAGCGCGACTCTCTGCCCGAGGAAGAGTTTACAAGCCACGCCTATTAAAATCACGCGGCTCTCGATTGGCGGGAATCTTTGCCACGTATGCATCGGCGGCTACAGCGGCTACGGCGGCTACAGCGGCTACGGCGGCTACGGCAGCAGCATCAGCGACGGAAGCAGCGACGGCAACAGAGGCCTCCGGTGGTACTGCGGAGCGCCTCCCGTGAGTACGGCACTTACGCACCACTGCCGACTGGGACTAAAAATATTTGTGGCTAATTGTAAGCGGCGCGTTAGCCGGGCAAGGGACGGGATGGCGGAGGGGGGGGGGCGGTGGTGGCGGTGGTGGCGGTGGTGGCGGTGGTGGTGGTGGCGGCGCAGAAGAAGGTTTCACGATGATGACGAGGAGGAGGAGGAGAGAGAAATAGTGAGCGATGGAGCGAATGACGACGAGTAGGAGGGAAGGAGAACAGCGTTCATTCATCCGACTTTGATCGAATAATGAGTCTACTTCTACTTTGCTCGGGTAGTTTTCGCCGCTCAGCTTATTTTCTGGTTCTTTTTTCCTCTTTCTACCGTTTTCTCCATTGTTCTTTTTTTTATTGTTTTTTGTTTTGTTTTGTTTTTGTTGTTTTTATTATTAAATAGCCGTATATCGAACGAGAGCTGACGTGTCTTGTATCGTCGTGGCTGACGCTAACTCGATAAGTAGTCAGTCGTGCATCTGCATTTTGATATTCCACGTTGTACTTCGGAAAAACCAGGAATTCTGAATACTTGATAAAAGAAAAAAGCATTTGGCGCAACGGTGGCGATAATGATAGATGTTAGTGGGTAAAAGGTGGGCATGGTAATTGGGTTCGGCCATTGGGAAAATGCACGAATAATCATGGTAATAGATGCAGATTGATGAAAATTTTAGGTGAAATTTGCGAGCAATTTTTTATTATGTGGGATAGACATGAGTTCGTCATGGGCTGTGTGCGGCGGCGAAAAACCGAAGGCTGTGAGATGGATAAATCGATAGGAATGAAAGTTCACGTGAAATGTAAAAGTTCTTTTTCAGCATTATCATGAATTTTTGCACAAATAGGTCACATTATATTTTATGGCCGAGTTAAACAGATAAAGTCGCAAACAAGTTTAGTTAGCAAGGGAATTGTTATCTTGTAGCGTGAGCACTGATAGATGCACAAGCATATTGCTCGGCTAATTAAAGTTAATGCTTTAAAAGCAATGTTTAAACATATTGTGCAAAATTTTAAGCGTACATTTGAATTTCATTATAAAAATATAGCAATATTCGAGCATCGCGCATTATACATTATTCAAAATAATGTAAGCAAAGACATCGGTAAATACTCGATGTACATCGATAGAAGGAAAAAATTACGTTTTCAGTTTAGGAACATCGAGTAGCATTTTTCTAAATAGCAACCATTTAATTTCCCGCCACTTGTACAGATTTCTCAATTAATATCAAATATTTCCCATTACTACCAACGTCGCCTGTAAAATTAAATTGACAATAACGATATAAGTGAAGATAAGAAGAACGGTTCTTCAAATAGAAAAGGATACTGCCATTACTACTGTTCATACGTACATTTTGTCCCCTATTAAATTATCATATCTTTTCGGTTTTTCGAGCTCAGCGATACTTTTTAACATAACCTTATTTTTAATCGTGGATTAGAATATATTATATATCAACTAAACATTAAGTTAACATATTTATGTCCGTTAAATACTGTTAAGTCAAAAAAAAAAATATATATATATATATATATATATATATATATATATATACAACAATAACAAAAAAAAACTTTTAACTTTTAAATATATGAACCATGTGTACAAACATTTTTATTGAGAATTCAACATAGTTCTAACATCCTCATCGAGAGTGAAAGTTATTCATTTTCATTTACTTTCTCGACTTTTACAATCGCCCTGTTTTACCGATAAGACAGATTTAATTATAACAGCTGTATTGTTTATGAATTATACATTCAAAAAAAAAACGATGATTTGTTTTAACGTTAAAGACTATTTCCTAGTTATGCCACAAATATTATGTACTATGTTAAACAAAATTTTGAATAGAATCTTTTAATAAGTAAAAATATGAATTTATCGAGCGTGCGTGTGCGCGCGCGTATATATATATATATATATATATATATATATGCATATATGCATATATCGTAACATAAATTTTTTTTATTTTTTTACACATTAAAAATCAACGTTTCTTACTTTTTTCTTCTATGATCTCCAGCTGTTATGCATTTCAAAACTTCGTATATATATGCATTTACAAAAGAAAATGTATGACATTTGAATTGGACTATTATAAAATGTAATTATACTCGACTTTAAAATACAATAAAATCTGTTTGACTGGTTAAAAACTTTTTCTTAAACATTAAATATAAAGACAGTAATGCAATCAATGTCTACAATAGTCAATTTATGTAAAATATTTTATATACATGGCTATATAATAAAATTAGTACGTAAATAAAGTTCGTAAAACTATATTCCTTAGAATGCATATAAAAGGTTAAAAATATGCCAAGTAAATTGCCCAACATTTTAACACAACTATAAAATAATTGACGTACGCTGTTAATAAATTTATTTGACAATCATTTGTTTGAAATAGAATATATAATGCCGACAATGTTCAAAATAAAATGTTTTATTTCACATTAAACGCATTGATTTTAATTCAGATAAATATACTTTAGCTTAAATTATAACAATTTCGAAAGATTGTTAATATATATATATATATATATATATATATATATATATATTTTTTTTTTTAAATTTATTTACAAATTCTAATTACTTTGAGTGGAAGTTATTCTAAAACAGAAAAAAGTAACGACAGTTTTATAATTTGCATAAAAAAATATTTACACATAACTATCAGTACAAGAATCTTTCAATCAATAATATTCAAAACTTTTTCGTAAAAATTGAATAAACGAATAAGTATTCATAATTTTACCTTAATTATCATAAACGATAAAAGTACAATAAATATCAATAACTATTTTTTTTAACGCTTTTATTCCGGCCCAATTTAAATTGATTGCTATTGACGAAGTATTTTAATTCATACATCAGTTTCATATGGAAATTCTCAATTCTCAATTCGTGTACGACAATAAAGTCGCGTCATTCAAGTTATGTCCAAACTCAATAACTATAACGTTGATCATGTGACTTTTTAGCCGCGACATTATAATTTTACAATTCGTATACGCTTGGTAGTGATTTACTAGATGTTTCATACAATAAAGATGTTGAGTGTCAAGTGACTATTCTGGTCCTATTAGTAATCTTGTTCATTAAATGATTTTGTAGCCAGTTAATAAATTTGTAGACGAGCCCAGTAAAAGTCTACTTGTAAGCCTACAATATAATAATATTAGTAGTACAAAATTATTTATTTTTTAAGCAAACATTTTTCCAAATATTTTAGGGATGTTTTGTTTTATTAGAACAAACATTGAAATTAACATTTTCGTTAATTCATACATGAGTACATAATTTAAAAAGTATTAGTAAAATTCTGTATGATTATGGCTTTTAATACAATTAAGAAAAAAAATCATTTAATAAGCTGACTTCGTTTCATTAATTAAAAAAGCATTATACCGAGCCATCAACTTATATAATTTATTTTGTAACGATGAATAATCATCGTCTTTGTCTAATTCATTCTCTTCTTGATTAGATTGTGGTATTTGTCCATTAGCAATTGTAATTCTTTCTAATTTATCTTCTAAAATACTGATCGAGCGATAAATTTCATTCTCCTCAATTAGCTGTCTTAATTTATTATCCTTTTCCTTTTGGATAGCTGGCTCATCGTTCAGCATAGACAATTCTTTTTGTTGTTCTTTATCAAAATCATAAATAATTGAATCTCTTTTAGCTGTTTCATTATATATTACTTCAGCTTTGCCTTCGTAATCATTTACCTCCACATTTATTTTTGTTTCTAACGATTTTAATTTATTCAAAATTAATTGAAGCTTATTATTATCTTGTTTCAATTCTTCAAAACTTTTGTCATTTCTATCATTGAAGTTCTGATTCATTAATGATTTAAGCATGTCCGTTTCATCCGACATAAATATATTGCTGTCCATACTTTCGGTTACATTATTCGATATCTGTTCTAAATGCTCTATTATCTCTTCCTGTAAGTGGCTTAATCTATTAAGTTCCTCCGCTTTACTTTTTACCAGCGATGATCGAAAAATGTCCATAATTTCTTCTTGCTTATGATACTCGTTATGCTTTACTGATTTTTCCGTCTGAATTTCATCTGGATTTATTTCCAGTTGTAATAATTCTTCTTCGGCATCAGCAATTTTTTTTTCTATTTCTATGATTTGCTTCTCAGCTGAGGAGGCATCCAAATTTTCTTGGTTGATCTTTTTATTTTCAACTGTTGAATTGTTCCTTAGTTGTTCTAAAACTTTATCCCTCTTCCTTTCACCTTCCACAATTTTAAGATATAACTTGTACGCTTCTTGTTTCATCTGAAAAAATATAATCGATCGATCATTAAGTAGCAGAGACGATTTAATTAATACAATATAGCGCTTACTGGTGAAAGAACAAATTTTTGCTGTATTTTAAATTTCTCATCGGACAATTGAGCTTGATATTTTTGCAGTACATTTATTTCTTTTTGCACATCAGTCTTATTTTTAAGAAGCTCGTCATATTTAGATCTCATTTCCAGAGACATATCCCCTAGCATCTTTTCAGCTACGTTTCTCTTAGATTCAATTTCTTTATTTAATTCGGATAATCTTTTTTCAGCCTGCTCACGCTTTTGAAAAATTTTCTGCATTTCGACTTCTTCGCGATCGTTGAATTCCTTAAGTTCTTTTACTTCTCTCATTATCTCATCTTTATTGGAGCCCAATACGGTTTTATTAAAAGCAACGTAATGCTCATTAATTTGCTCTTGCAATTTATTGAATTCGACGTTAAAATCATTTGTTTTCTGATCGTAATCCATTTGTGCCCTATCTTCGCTATTTTCTTTCTCAACTTGGCGCGTTATCACTTCAATTTCATTGTTTAATTCTCGAATTTTTTGCTGTAATATTTGCTCATAGTGCCTTTTATCTTGAATTTGCCTAAATGTATTATAATATTACATGTACAGCTTTTATACAATTTTATTATAGAACATTTATATGCCTTAGTGAGCTACCTTGTTAATTTAGGAACACCTTTCGACGAAGCGGTAGGAATACCTGCTAATCCTTGTTGCATAACCGGACGATCGAGAAGCTTGGCATTTGGTTGTGCAAAATTCCTAAATACACCTGAATTTGTACGTGCCAAGCTGGCTGAGCTAGATGTGTTAATTCTAGGGGCAGCAGTTGGCACTCTATTAATCATAATGCCAGTGGAGGGTGGACGAGACAAAACGTTTCTGCCACTAGTCGGTGGTCTAGAAATCCCATACTCCGTTATATCGGTTTTGAAACCTCTACGAGACGTTGGACGTTCCATTTTACCATAAGATTTCACTGACATTGGACTTTCAGGAGAGTATCGCTGTTTGTCATTAGAATCCTGCTCCCTCCTCCATCGTGTCACCGGTCTCTCTCCAGACCTACTAGTGGATGATCTGTCGTACTCCATTTAACTAGCCAGTCGTATCCTTTCTCCCAGCTTAAGCTAAAAATAAAGTAGCTTTATAGAATTTTAATGCGATTAACAATGAAAATTACTCACTCCTACCATCATACACTTAACGTCATACCTTCTAAAGTTATGTAGCATTTGTGATGACTTTGGTAACTAGGGGTAACCAAAAACTTCACCATACCTTCACTCACTACGTAAACAATACCAGAGCAGCAAGGCCAGTTCGAATGCATGTGGGGAGTACATTACAGAGCCGTAAATTAAACGGCCCCGGTATGGGACGTTCGAATAATGAATTCGAAAAGCCAGAGCTTGGCGCTTCGACGTAGCCGAACCCGCGGTGACAACGCCGTACAGTTCTCCAGTTTATCGACGGGCCGCGTCAGGAGCGCGGTCGACTTGCGCGTAACGTAACGACCGACTCGGCAATCGATAACGCACGCTCAAGGTCAGGACAGTCGTGTAAGAGGGCGCTGCTCGTAAACTGCACTCTCGGTTCTCGACGGGTGGTGCGGGTAGTGTGGCCCCACGATATCTGGTTTGGTGGCGTTGGTTGCGCGCGCTCAACGGCGGCTTTTCGAGTAGTTGGTCGTTGGCGTTTGTGGATAATCGTGAATCGCGGCGAAAGGGGCGCACGCGGTAGCGATAAATGCCCGTTGCGCCGAGTCGCTAAGCAACAGCGCGACTGACTACGCGCTCGAGGTGTACCGCCCTGGTGGTTCGTTCGCTCGTCCTGGAGGTGAATCGCGCCTCCTCCAAGAATATAATTGAGAGCAGCTCGCGGACCGCGCGATAGTTGCGACTGGAGGAGCATTTGATTGTCGCTGGTCGGCAAGTTGACGAAGGTTAGGCCGCGCCGATCGCGCGTCGGTTTGATAAGGGTCGACGCTGATGCAGGAGAGGATGTCCCCGTGTCGTATCCCTGATACGGAAGCTTAAGGAGTTAGGATCGACGTCTAGAGAAGGAGCCCCAGCCCATTTTGAGACCTTAGGCTTTATAAAACCGCTGAACCG